CAACCTCTGACAACTCTAACCAACAACCAACTTTGACTGCAACCTCTGACAACTCTAACCAACAACCAACTTTAACTCCAACCATAGTCAGTAATATTGATGTTAGAGAGCAGCAGTCAAGTGAGAACTGGGGTGGAAGTTTCAAAGTRACTTTGGACAACATTGACCTACGGATACTAACAAGAGACATGACAGCAGACAGGCAGAATAAAGACATACATTGGTGCAACCATGTAGCTGTGAAAGATAGAGCAGTTTACCAACAAGGAGCAATTAAACAAACAGACCTCCTAGAGCTTGAGAATGCAAAGATACTACCTGAAGTGGAAGACCACAAAAACCTTAGGAAGGACTTTGAGAAACTGGTGGCACAAATTCTTGTTGAGCACCTTCCTTGTTTCAGTTTTCTAAAAGATGCATGTCCTAAACACATCCCACACAAATATATTAAAGAAATGGCTGAAAAATCGGAAAAGGTATTCCCCACATTTAAAAGAGTTGTCATGCATACATAAATAATGTGTTTTGTTTTGAAAAKGAACAAAACTCTTGATGGTTGCATGTATATTATATAATATATGCATAATGATCATTTGCACATTATTTCAGACACTGGATCAATGTATGAATGCCTGTTACTTTTATTAATAATATCTATAACATTTATACCTGTTGTTCTATCAGATACCGCTAGGAGTTATCTTTAAGAGTGAAAACATCTCAGATGAAATGGCAGAAATTCTACATCAAATCCAAGGGTATTCAGGCACAGATGRCATAACTATTCCTGTCGTTGGCGACCAAGTAACGCTTGAAAGAGGAGTAAATGTCATTGCAGCTCTTCAGAATGGCTACACACACGAAGAACGGTTAGATGGTGTACACATGGAGATTGCTGACTGGCATTCTATTCTTACATTTTTGAGGGTGGGTTTTTTTTACATATTTCCTACAATGTTTGTACTGTTTGATGTACTATGTAATCTACCACTTCACATATGCCCCATCTTCAGGGTTGGTCCTGTTATTCTTTTGATACATGTGACTTCATGTTATTTTATGAAATGTCAGTGAACATGATGGCGCAAGGAAAGGTTATGAACCTTGCTATGTTATGCTGATGTCATGTCTTCCATTTCATTTTGTAGGTAATACTCAATCGACACTACTCTCCGAGTTCAGATGCAGACAAGTGCACGTTATTTGCCAATAGAAACCTGATCAACAGAAGAAATGTTGTTGCAGATGTCACTAGTAACTGGGCACCATGTAAAGCTTTCATGCTGTTAGATATCAAAGCCCGTGTGCTTGCAGCTGCTATGAAAATCTTAGGCATGCAARATCTTGATGACCAGCCGCAGACATTCACCATATCTGATCCACTAAAGAATGCTTCGATGATAATCAAGCAGTTGTACCTGCAAAAGGTTTGTGCTGCCATCGTGGAAGAGTTCATAATCAACCAAGATCTCCAACAGAAAATGATTGACAGTATTCTTACAAATCAAGAAGCAGAGAATCTAGTCAATAACCAAGAACTCACCCCGGATGGGAAGTTTCCGTGCAGGTTTCCTGGGTGCAACAAGGTATATGTGTTTGATGGAAAGAGCCGGAGAAACCATGAGTTAACCCATGATCCACCACCAGAGGTACCTGAACCACCATCTCTGACAGCAGACATACCAGTGACAAAAAAGATTGATGAAAATAATGAAAAGCAAGATGACATGTTCAACTACAACTGCTCAATTTTAAATCATGGTCTATTATTTCTCAACTTTCTAGATGCTACAGCAGAGGGTGATGGTTATCGGCTAATCAGATGCTGGAAATTTTTTTTACTCCACTTCAAAGAAGAAAAATCCACCCCCAAGTACGCTCTAGAAGCTCTATATTTACAATTCCAAATACTGTCTCTACTGCCACCTGAGAAAGCATTCAGCATAATCCACAATAGAACTGTCAACAACAAAGGAGGCCCTGGAAGGAATGTATCATTAGATTTAGACCTTGAACATGAGAACAACTATTTGAAGCAAGCAATCAAGAAGCTTGGGCCAAATGTCAACCCAGCTCCAGTTTCAAGGATATGTCGAGCTCATAAAGTCACAAAAACAATGCTAGACAATTTTGATACTGATCAATGCCGCATTGTNGGATTCCTGGTCATGTGGTTGCACACCAAGAATATATATGTGATATCTGGACACTAGAAGTATTTTTTATCTAAAATCTTAAAAATAACAGAGGCGCGTAAAGCATAATGGTGCAAAACTKGACATTTAACTTGACATTAGCTTAGAACCTTATATTTTCTTTAGGGGTTAGAATTTAGTGATTCGAGTCCACACTTTTCAAGATGGCGGACGCATTGTTCTCCAAAACTCTTGATTCAGAGGCTTCTTCCTCACTTTTGATTMYATTAAAATACTTTAGAGCACAAGACTCGATAAGACAACACAATGGCAACACGGAAAAAACTTGTATATTGTCTAAATATCTTTGTTTTCATATTTTTAAAAATTATAAGGCATCCAGGACTGAATTTTTATGCTCAATTAACGCCAGAAATCAGTTATCTTTTATTCTTTGGAACATGAAATAAGGTGGTTCCACAGGAATGTATTTGTATACTCGTAGACGTCTCTCAGTTTTGACGCTTTTTATCTTTCACCGAGTCGATCATAGTCCGTTTCGCAAAACACAACCCCACGTCTTATAAACAAAATATTTTTCCTATTTAAAACGAGTATCTAACAAACAATTTAAACGAAAATCCTGCACGAAACAACAATTTATTTGTACTGACTAGTTTCGTCCTTTTGGTACTTCTCAGTTGTACAATTTGTATTAGATATGTTGAAGAATTATATATAAGTACAACTAGTGCTAGAAATAAGATGGCTGAGCCTTAGTCGATCACGTGATAATTATGCGGTCAGCGTTAATGGYGATTTGTTTTCTCCTACCTGTYAGGTTTTAGATGGAGTGATCACAAACCACATTCAAAACAAGGAATATATTGTGCTATACAACGCCGATGGGGAATGTTTAAAYAAAAAAATAGTTGCCATAGCAGCAGCTGTAGATGCCGGACTTCCTCCACCAAAACACAGCGTCTCCCCTTCCGTGGATACAGGAATTACAAGAAGAGAACTAGGTAAATACTTTGTTTAGGACCTAAAAAGGCTTAGTATTCACTATTATAACTTATTTTGGGAAACGGAACAATAGTCTTACGATTCCCAGCGCCATCTTGAAAGGCAACCGTGCCTTTGAATCTAAACGAGACGACCGTTTAGCGTGTAATGATAGAGACCTTCTTTCATACGTACAGATAATTTTACAAAGGTATCTACCACTTGCAGCTCAAGGGTCGTCTCGCTACGATACAAGAGCTAGAGACGGCTAACTTTCAAGATGGCGCAGCGATCAAAGTCACGTGAGCTGTCCATCAAATGAATCAACTTTGACGTAATAACTCAAAAGGTCTTTGAAGCAATAGATGAATCGTATCCATTCTAGTATTTCTGTAGCAGCTTCTTGAAAGGCCCATGTGCATCTTTGCGCGTTTTTTTTCACACGAAAAATTCTCATGTTTTTGAACCAATCAGAAACCAACTTTGAAAACCAAAATACAAACGATTTCTCTAGGATGTACGCTGGCCTTTAACAACTTAAAGTTTATATATTAATGGTAGTGGCATCGGCCATGTGTAATAGATAAATAGATAAAGTAAAAATGTATCACGAATTTAATTCATTTGTTTTCTGCAGGGCCTGCTCCCCTGTCTGCCTCTGCTGTATCCGTTGTCCCAGGATATCAAGGCCTTCCAAGTTTGCCTTCCACGCATCACRACACTGCAGCTAATACTATCACACAATTTTCTGGGAACAAGTCAAATTCAGTGAATACAAATGAAAGACAAAGTCACCTTCAGGGATCAACTAGTGGATTTTACATGCCGCCACCACCAATTGACTCGCAAGAGGTYCAAGTAAATTCACCCAGAAAACCAAACAATCCACCACAGGGAACCCAAAGTAATTTACCACAGGGAGCCCAGAATAATTTAATGCAGGCAGGCCAACCAAATCTTTTGCACGGATCTCAAAGAAATCTACCTCAWGGGTCAAAGAGCACCACGATATCACCGCAACGAATTGGCAATCCACAACAGGCATCCCAAAATGTGAACGCGGCGCCACAGGGAGCCCAAACCTTGAKTAAGCCACCTCAGACACCCCAGAACATTGTACAACAAGTAGGGCGTCCAAGTCCAAACCCACCACAGGGRTTCCCAAGGTCGAACTATGTTACACAAGCCACATTTCAGAGCTCATGGTCACCACAGACAGCCCAAAACTTGTCAAATACACCACTCGTACCACAGGCTGTTAATAGCACCAACACGGCTACAGTAAGTCCTGATAGGAAAGCTCCACAACCAGCAACTCTGACGAGTCTAAGCCAAGGYACTGTGGCAAATCACCCTAACACAAAACAACCAACACAAATATTTCACTCCAATGTTTCGTCGCCAAAAGAAACAGAAAAGCACGAAATTGTACAAAACRACGAATGGCAAAAAGAAAGAGAAGCGCTTCTGACAAAGCGAAGGGAACAAGAAGAATGCATAGAAACACTGAAAAAGCCAGTAGCACAAAAGCAGTCCTCTCAGAACCTTCAAGATCTGAAGGAAAAACTTGCAAAGCAAGTCAGGTGAGATGAGCTCTGAGAAATTTAGTCGCGATTTGTGATTGCGAAACAACACTCGTTCGACAAAACGCGCGTTAGCAGATGGAACAGTCCCATTCACGGTTTCCTGCGCCATCTTKAAAAGTAAGCGTGCCTTTTCATCGTTTCGTGAAGACTGTTGAGCGTGCAATGATAGGTACCTTTGAATAATATTTTTGCACGCCAAACGAGTCATGTCAACTACCTTTCAAGATGGCGCAGAGAACCGTGAAGGAGGCTATTGCACAGACGGATGTTAACATAGATTTGGCTAGACTTTTAAGTTGTCTTTCTATCTTCTGAAAGGAATTTAATTCAAAATCTATTACCCAGGATATAATTGTAATATTTGATAATTGCTATTAATTATTTTTATTGTTTTAGAATAAAAGAACTCGAAAACCAAGTCCTYAAATTAAAGAAAGAAATCGAGACGTTAGAAAGTGAAAAGGCGAACTTGCAGTTCCATTTATTGGATAATTAACTAAATCGTGTCTTAGAAACTCCCGGCAAATCTAAAAAGGATGAGTGGATCCGGGGGATGTTGGACCCCCCTTCAGGTGACTTTGCATCTATTTTCGGTCTCTGGTGTATAACTATACTTTCTCTTKTGGCCTTTCTTGCTCTACTATGCCTCATCCCCGCGCCTTCCTTGACCTCACTAGAAAATATACTAAAACCGTTGGAGTCTTATGTTATGTTTTAGATAATTGTTTTAAATAATAAAAATTTAACTATGCTATTCAAGGAAAAGTTCTATTTTTATGCCGATCAATTGTAAGGGGAACATGAGTGCGCGCTCTAAGAGCGTCTATTTTGTCGCTTTGACAAATCAAAATGGATGTGCCATGCTGTCCAATAAGAGTTTATCTGGCGTAGCGGACAGGCTTCTGATATCAGGGCTATAAAATTAAATAGGGAAAAAAAGGAAAAAAATATTCTTATCTACGACTGCAGGGGAAAGCAGGCTGTTCCTTTCTCAAAACGCGATATTGTGTTTTTAAGCGAAARCTCTCCKGGTAGAAGATAAGCCRGCTACTAAAATRTTTCCCCTGTGACACAACGACAGTCGCTATTTTTGAAAGAAGATGCATCCGAACAAAACACTTCCCTATTTTATCTTTTTTTAATTAAAACTTTGAAATTCTTTTATTCG